TATATTTTATTTATATACTTTAAATTACAAATTTAAATAAACAAATTCAACATTTATTTACCTATGCATGAACATCTCCTATATAATATTGCATTTATATATTTTGAAATACGTATTTAAAAATAATTATTGGGTATTATCTCATCTGCGCAAAGCACATAAAAAAACTAGTATATATATACACACACAAATAATGGCTGTTGGTTTGGGTTAGTTGGGTCGGGTTGGTTTGGGCCAGAATAGACTTGAAATATAAGGCCTGATAATTTGTTTTTTCAAATTTTATAAGTTGGATCGTAACATTTATCATTTTGCAATTCTTTTAAAATAGGTTAAAGATTTTTATTTTATATTTAAATTTTTTCACTTATAAAAATAATTGTTTTGTAATAATTTGTGTTTAACATTATAAAAAAAATTATACATAAACAATTATTTGTGGAATAAAATAATATAAACGCAAGTAAGGAGAAGAATAAATAGAGAATGGAGAGGGAAGGCAGATCTTTTTATTCATCCTCACATTACATATTACAACAATACATATATATAATATACATTTGTAACGGAAGGTAATGATGGTAGATATAAATGCGACCGTTACATCAGTTACATAATCAACTCATAATGTCCACACTTAACTATATTTATAACATTATTTATAAAATCTTTCAATTTATCATAATTTAATTAAATTATGTTTTAATTTGTTTGGAGGGATTTATTACGATTTGTGAATTCTTTGAATACAGAAATGACATTTGGAGAAAAAATTGTGATTTTTAGTGGTGATTGCAGACAAATATTGCCTCTGATTCTTAAGGGAACAAGATAATCATCATCATCATCATCATCATCATCATCATCATCATCATCATCATCATCATCATCATCATCATCATCATCATCATCATCATCATCATCATCATCATCATCATCATCATCATTATAATGCATATGTATATTCAGAAATAAAGGTCAAAGCCTTTCTAATCTAATTTTTTTTTAAAATCTGTCTTTGTACATGGATAGTTCTATGTGGCTCTATCTACAATTAGCAACCTTAAAATTGTTATTGCATGTCAAAATGGGGCAAATTATGTTGTGGAATCGTGTTCACATTACAATGTGGATACGGTTCTAAAATTGTTCATAATTATGAATATATAATTTAAAATTATAAACATATAGTTCTATAATTATAAACATATTGTTGTGAACATAATTATGTAAATATAGTCCTGTAATTATAAATATAAAGATTCAATAATTATGAATATGAAGTTCAAAAATTATGAATATATAGTTTTATAATTATTAACATATAGTTCAATAATTATGAACACAGAAATATGTAATTGGGAAGGCAGATCTTTTTATTCATCCCCACATTACATATTACAACAACACATATATATCATTATCATCATCATCATTATTATTATTATTATTATTATTATTATTATTATTATTATTATTATTATTATTATTATTATTTATTATTATTATTATTATTATTATTATTATTATTATGAGTAATGCATATGTATATTCAGAAACAAAGTTCAAAGCCTTTCTAATATAAAATTATTTTTTTAAAACCTGTCTTTGTACATTGATAATTCTATGTGGCTTATCTACAATTAGCAACCTTAAAATTGTTATTGCATGTCAAAATGGGGCAAATTATGTTGTGGAATCGTGTTCACATTGCAATGTGGATACGGTTCCAAAATTGTTCATAATTATGAATATATAATTTAAAATTATAAACATATAGTTCTATAATTATAAACATATTGTTGTGAACATAATTATGAACATATAGTACTGTAATTATAAATTAAATATAAAGATTCAATAATTGTGAATATGAAGTTCAAAAACTATGAATATATAGCTTTATAATTATTAACATATAGTTCAGTAATTATGAACATAGAAATATGTAATTGTGAATATAAAGTTCAATAATTATGAATATATAACTTTATAATTATGAATATATAACTTTATAATTATGAACATAGAACCGTATTCACCTTGCAAGGTGGACATGGTTTCACAGCATAACGATTGTCAAAATGGAGAGTACTCTTCTTTAAGTATAAATGTGGTTCACAAATAAGTTTTTAACGATTTGTAAATTTAAGTATTAATATTTTGACTTTTCGTAACCTTTAAATCAAATATATTTTAATATTTTTGTAATATATGAGTTGAATATATGTTTATATTAAGTTGTGTATTTTTTTTTATTACTAAATACTTATATTAATAGCCAAGAATGTGGATATATGTGCTCCCATAAATATTATTACGCACCTTAAATATCAATTTTTATTTTAATTATAAATCTTTATGGTCATATTTTTATTATAGCAAGTCAACAGAGATGTACGGAGTATTAAAAAAATAAACCTCATATTGACTTTTTATATATAAAATTTATTAACATTAATAGTTTTTAATAATATAACATAACTATACTATTTCAAATATTTAATCCGTGCATCGCACGGGTAGAATACTAGTGTATATATACACGCACATACACCCTCTCTCCTTGCCAAGATGGTAATAATATTTTTTTTCTTCCTCTTATAATTATACCAAGAGTTAATAACCAAAATGGTCATTCGACTATGTCGTAATTACGAATTTGGTCATCGATTATTATTATTACCCAATTAAGTCCTTAACTATGTAATTTTTATCCAATTTTCAAAAAAAAAAAAATGTAATTTTTATCCAATTTAGTCAATTGTTAAATTGACTGTTTGTTGACTGTCAAAAGTGGGATAAAATTGTAATTTTTACAAGTTTTGTCCTTTTTCCCTATTTAGCAGCGCCAAACCAGGCAGCAATACGCTCCGATCAGCTTCCAAACTTGTCAGTGTCGAAGCAGTGGTTGTGCATCGGAGAGCCCAATGATATAATATACTAATATTAATAACAACAACAACAACAACAACAACAACAACAACAACAATAATAATAATAATAATAATAATAATAATAATAATAATAATAATAATGTTGGTTGTTACAAATGTTATAACCATTACAATAATGTCCGCACTTAATATCATTTATAACACTCCCCTTGGACATTATTTGACCATGATCTTACCTCGCTAAAAATTTGCTGGAAATATCCTGTGGAAAAAAATCTAAACAAGAAAATAATACAAGGTATACTGATAGTATATTTAAATACATCAATGCCTCGTTAAAAACTTCACTAGGAAAACCACGGGGAAAAACCTAGTTGAAGAAAAGAGTACATGATATTTGTAAACTAATATATTGTATTGATTGCCTCATTAAAAACCTTAACTTAAGAAAACCTCATGGGAAAAACTTATTTAAGGAAAAAAGAGTACAGTCATAAGCCTTCTAGGCCCCCGGATTTTGGAGTTTGTCTATTTAAGTATTTGCCTTCAAGGCATAATCTTCAAGATTTTGGGGTTGTGTATTTAAGTATTTATATACAACTCTCCCCATTAATATATCATACTCATACCTCGTTAAAAACCACACTAGAAAAATTCATTGGGAAAAAAACCTAGTGAAAAAAAAAGAGTACATAGTATATATATATATATATATATATATATATATATATATATATATATATATATATATATATATATATATATGTTGCAAAAAGTATAATTATTAGTCATTTTAAGACCCGATCTACAGGATTGACCAATCTACGTGATTGACTCGAGTGAATGTACCTCCTGTCTCCCCATGAAGATAACAATCTTCAAATTCTACATTACTTAAAGTAAAATCATTATTTCAAAAGGGTGTAGAGAAAGGATATGCATGGTACAATCTTCAAGATTGTCATTAGAATTTATCATATTTTCTCGTGATCATCTGGACCAATAAAATTATTTATAGTTTATATTTTGTTGCTCCCCCTAAATATAATAATTTTCTTTACCTACACATATCAATATTATGGATATTTTGTAGGTATACATTTGCTAACTTGTCACTGGAACAAATCTTCTAGACAAATATTTAATCACTCTCCTAGAGTTCATGTGGATCATGGTATTTTATCATGAAAACTACATATGTTTTTATTTGTCCCTAGTATAATGACTTTATGTCAAAAGACATCAATATGAATATTTGTACCTTGATTTGCTATTCCTTATCTCATCTCATAACTTAACAGTCGCTATGACAAGCGAGAGCATAAAACCAGTAATAATTAGTATGATAATTAAGTTAATAATTATACATATATTACAATATACAAATATAGTTTTTCAGCCCAAACTCAGGGTTATTTTAGTAAAGAATAAAGGTCAAATATGCCATCAAACTACACCCGATAATGCAATTAGGCCGCCGAACTTTTAAAAGCTACAGTACAATTGGGTCCCTGAACTAACCAATTCTATTCAATTAGTCCAATTTGAGGTTTATCAGGTGGTTAGCAGGTTACCCCAAATTTAAAATATTTTTAAAAAATTATTATTATTTAAAATAATTATTTAAGAAGATAACTTCTTCGTCTCCGGCCATGTAGACGAAGATAACTTTTCTTCGTCTCCAGCCAGAGACGAAGAAGATTTCTTCGTCTCTGGCCATGGAGACGTCTCTATGGCCGGAGACGAAGAAACCTTCTACGCCTCAGGCGGAATCGATCGGTTTTTTTTTTTTTTTTTGAAAAATTGTAAAAAATACCCTTTTATAATATGCCAATTATCAATGTCACTTCTGAATTATGAGTGGTGTGAATGTTGCCCTTCAATTATTAAAATGGTGCACATATAGCCCATCCCGTAACGGACCTGTGGTTCCCCACCACATGACATTGCCCGGCATTGATCGTTGCACAAAATAGTGATTTGAAAGGCGAAGAATTCAGACGGCCTCTCAGTTCAGTTTATATATATATAATAAGAGGTAGTGTCTGTCGGTGTTGGTTCTACTTCAATTCGAACTTTCTCCATGGAAGCATCGTGTCAGCGGAGCTCTAATCCCATGGCTCAACAAGAACAGGAAGAGGAAGATGAATGGGTTTGAAACTAGTACCATTTGATTGTATTGTTGTTTTCTTTAGAAAAAGTCATATCTGTTGTAGCTAGATTATGATGATTCCATGTTTTTTTGGCAGATAAACAACATATACGTGAAGATAATTAAAACTGTGAGTGAGTTTACAGATGTATAAATTTGAAAGTGTCGAAGAACTCAAAAATTGTTTATTATAATCAATCAATTCAATTCAATCCAAAATTGAATCATTTATGATTGCAACAACAGGACCAACTACCTCGACCATTTACGTAACAAGCCCCACCAGGAAAGCCTGCTGAAATGCACTTAACGTCGCAATCATTAGGTGGGGTACTAGTGCTACACATCCCTATGCATACCGGTCCTGGCCCTAAAAGCACACGACCATCTTCCATAGCGTTCGCCATTGAACCTGTTCAAAATTTTCATCCACAAATTACAGTCAAAATGAAATTACAAAAATCAATAATAACTATGAAAATCAAATTGTCAGATTACTTGGGTTCAGAGTGAGAGCGAAGGATAACATAACAAGAACAATCTGAAAGCTTTTCATACTGTAAATATTTTTCTTCTGCTAAATACTGATAGGCCGGGTTTATGTGTGTTGGACATCTTAACAAATGTACAATATATATACACGCAAATACACTCTCTCTCCTTGCCAAGATGGTAATAATAATATTTTCTTCCTTTTATAATTATACCAAGAGTTATAATTATACCAAGATGGTAATAATAATATTTTTTTCCTTTTATAATTATACCAAGAGTTATAATTATACCAAGATGGTAATAATAATATTTTCTTCCTTTTATAATTATACTAATAAGATTATAACTAATTCGAATAATAATATTTAATTTAACTTTTAAAAAGCAAATCTGTAATAAGATTATAATTAATTCGAATTCCATAATATTTGATATATGATTTTGTTCATATTAATATTTTCATTATTTTCTTACGTATACCATGGAGTTACGTATAGCTAAACAAGATAAAATTTTACATTATTTTTATGTGAAAGAAAAGATGTGATTTATCCTGGTGTAGTTGTTTTGGGTTTATTTTGTTGACCAAACTAAATGTTTCTTATAAAATAGTAAACTTCTATATTGGGATATACATACCAAAATAAATATAATGGTCTCCAATGTAATCGAATGTAATATGAACAGTTTAATGATTACCAATTAATTAAAATATTACCATAATATATCATATCGAATATTTTGATGATTTAAAGAATATAATTTAATTTTAAAAATGTAAATTTGTAACAACATTTTATTAGTAAGTTCAATGAATTGGTCAAACAAATTGCCTAGATTAGAAATAATTCTACAAATCTGACAACGTAAATAACGAGTTTATACATATAACAAATGAGCAAAAATCAATTTTGGTCCCATGAGTATTAGTAAAATGATAGTTTTGGTCCACATGTTTAATTTCTACCAATTTTCATCCACGACTATGGTTTTAGTACCAATTTCCATCCACGATTATTGTTTTAGTGCCAAAATTCATCACACCGGTCATCTCTATGTTTAATATATGCCGAAATATGAAATTCTTAAGGGTATTTTCGTCCTTTTTAAATTAAGATGCCAATTTGAACATGAATAAAGAGATTTAAGTTTTAAAATCGATCCCAATTCACAGTTCACATCCTCAAATTAAGGTAGGATGAGGAGAAGAACTGTGAATTGTGATCGATCTTAGGGCTTAGCTTAAATCTTATTATTAATGCTCAAGTTAGGATCTTAAGTTGAAAAAGAGGAAAAATACAATTAAAATTTTTAAATTTCGGCAAGCCTTAAACGAACCAGTGACCGGCGTGATGAATTTTGGCACTAAAACAATAGTCATGGATGAAAATTGGTACTAAAACAATAGTTGTTGAAATTGCACCGTGACACTTGTTAAATAAAAGCTATGTGATTTTACTTGTTAATTAAGATATGCACCAATTAAGTTAATTAATTTAAACTCGTTTAAGCAAGTATAAATAATAACTGCAGAAAGCATAAAGTAATTAAAAACACAAAGTAATTGTTACGCAGTTCGGAGCTCCTTCTCCTACGTCTGCGGGGCAACCCACGTCTACCCAATCCACTATAGATGTTCACCAAAAGGAGTATTACAAGAGGTAAATGAAGACGGCCTCCAGCCTTTACCACTACCACTCTTTCTAACACCTATCCAGGACTGACACACGAATACCCGAACAATCTTCACAAGTTGTTTCAGCAGTACCACGTACTGATCATGTAGTACAGATTAAATACTCTTAGGAATTAAATAATAAATCACATTAAAAATCAATATCTTAGTAAATCAGGATAGCTCTCTCAAATTTGTAATAATCAGCTTGGCCACTTCTTCATTCGAACCGCAGCTTTTTATAATCCTTCATGAGCTCCTTTTTTGATCCACAATCGTAGCCATCTTTCTTGCTTTCATTTGTTCGAATAAGTTCCAGCCACATATCTTATTCTTTGAATGCTTCATCATTAACCAATGCATGCTAGCCACTAATTTTGTACACACATGGTCCATAAAAGAAATAAACCTAACAACATTAATTTAATTTAATTCTAGTAAGGCCAATAAATAAAATAGCCAATATAGGGTAAATTATTTTACACTTACAATCTCCCCCTTTGGCATTTTATTTGGGAAAACTTGAGTATCAAATACTTTGGGCAAGAATCAATTTAATTTTATTTATAGCCCTTAGTATAGGTACTTAACAAGACACAAAAAATATAAAACCAAAAAATAACAAATTAAGTTCTTTTTGGACCATTTGTGAATAGAGTACCTGATTAGAAATTCTTCAAGTCTTGGATCACACACAAAAGCATTGAATTCATAGCATACCATATCAAAGATTAATTTGTGCATGTGAGAGAGCATAACCCAAAACATCCATACAACTAGTTAGGAGCACCAAACACTCCCCCTAACTAAAATAATTCTATTATTTCCATACTAACTAGCATAAATACTTCCAAAAATATAACCACTGTAAAAAACCACTGCCAAGTAATTCCGTAGTCATCCAATACTTGAAAACAAAATTTTCAGAAGTGTCCAAAATACTCCAAAGAACCGTAACAATACTTGAAAACCAAATTTTCAGAAGTGTCCAAAATCCAAAATACTCCAAAGAACCGTAATACTCCCCCTTACTCCTAACTCGCCCTTTTTGCCAAATAAATGACAAAGGAATGTGAACATCATAATAGTGGATTAGTTTTACCGTGCAGACGGGGTGCTCGAAACTGAGCCGTCATCAGAATCATCAGTAACAGATATCATACACCAAGAAGATAAAGCCTCATAAGCAATCACATCCAAAATATTCTTCAGAAATAATCTCATCAAGTAGATAATCCAAGAAGAATCCAAATAAGGTGATTAATTATAAAATGAGACCCCAGAGATTATGATAAGCCAAATAAAACGATAACCCAACGAGATAATCCAAAAACTGATAGAGTCCAGTAAGAAAATCCATACATACCCAAGAAGTCCAATATAACCGAAAATACCCAAGAAAATACCCAAGAAATTTGTTCATAAGAGATTAAGAAGAACTCCCCCTCAAAATGTACATCGTGATTGTTTCCTTTGCCAAGAATTTCACATTAGCTTGAAGCTGTAATTTGGACTCCATAATAAGTTATTTGCTTTGTTTGAACCTGCAGAAGATTTTAAAACAAACGAGAGCCCTAGAGCCATGCACACGCAACTTGCAAACAACTCAGTAAAACACATAAGAAAAAAAATTCAGGAATTTTCAATTCTCAATTCGAGTCAAACAAATTATCAAATAAAACAGTAAGCACATTCATGTAAAGCAAGCCAAAGATTCAAAATAAGTCAAATTTAGACACAGACACATATGAACCAAATTTAGGCACAGATTCAGGCCAAATATCACGGAAAACACACAAATAAACAATTAAGGCACAGATAGCGCAGGAAACACATGAATAAACACACATACGGTCATGACCGGACCAAACAAACCACAATCACATAAACATAAAGTAACACAAGAGAATAAACACATTAATCAATTTGCACCAAATTAAACAAATCAAAAAGAACACTTTAATCCATGCAAATTAAACGAGCACTTTAAAGAGTAACCCAGGCAAATTAAACGAACACATTAAAGATAATGAATCCAGAATGATCAAATGTACCTGATGTGTGAATAAGTTCAGAGATACACACATGTAGAAGTGGGAATGAATAATTAATGTTCAATTTTAAAGCCACTCACATAAAATAAAAGACAAAATTCGTCTTAGGCACATTTAAAACAGAGAAAAAAGAAAATATATATATATATAAATGGCAAACGAAGACTGCGAAAGAAGATTGCCAGTAAAAAAAATTGTAACACATTAGGATTCTCAAACTCGGGTATTGAGGTAATACCAATTAAAGGAGAAGAGTTAGAGTGTGTACCAGCTTCCTGAGTGTTTGAAGCCTTCAAAGTACTTACGGTCAGATTGAGTTTCCACATCATCTAAATGAGACACCTTCCTCTTTTCTGCAGTACCTGAAACAGGCAGTTTCTCCTTTCCCTTTCGGGAAGTTTTAGACAGAGGTACAATGATAAAGGGAACCGAGTCTTGGTTAGGTGAAACAGAAATGGGCGCATGTTCAGACTGAGTTTTAGAAGCAGAAAAAGTAATGGGGATTGAAAAAGGCCGAACAAGACACGGGTAGAACATAAACATGTTGTGCAATATTACGAATAGCAAAAGTAGATGGCAAGGAATTCACCAAATCAGATAAAGCCACTAAATTATCAGTTCCTCTGGGTAAATTGTGAGTCAAAGGATCATAAGGTTCACCAGGTAAAGGTAAATTTCGAATATCAAAATTATCATAAGATATGGGAGACACGAATTGATCAGGCAAAGAGACATTAAAATCAATTTTTCTAGATGACGATTGATAGGGCACAGTG